AGGTAGAAGAAGGGAAAATTTTTTTAGATGAGGGTCTAGAAAAAAAAAAAAACAAAAAAAAAACGGCTTCAGTCTGTAACAACACGTGGGGCTCTTTTATCTTTATTTTTTTTCTTCTTTTCCCCCTGCGTTCAGATTATGACGTTAGATGATCAGGAAATTGATAAGATGATCAGGGAGTGGTGACGCTGATAGATAAGTTTCGCAATGAGAACCAGATTAAGCAGCAGCCTGTCTCTTACTTAAACCTGACGATCGGTACTTTTGAAGGAGCAATCAGACTCAGGGGGGGCACAAACAAAGACTAGGTCTGAGGAATTGATGGTCGATGATCGACAATATTCGTGATCGCCTGGTCAGCCTTGATATGTCCATCATCCTGGTACCTCTGGGGGTAGGGTAGTAACTATAATATAGTAGGTAGTATTCAAGAGGTAAACGCATCACTATACTCCTCAACGTCCAATTGACGGATAATTTTAATTTGGGCATGCCGATAAATACCCGGCTCGTATCAGGACCGTATCTCCACCAACCCCATGCGGGGATTGGCTGTGGAATGCTTGAGAATGCAGGTACTGTACTGTATCGAATGATACTAGCCGGAGAAGCCTCGGCATCAGCCGCAACCCCTCCACGTGATCTCATGTGACTGCCCTGGGAATGGATCCCCAGCGCTAATCCTCTTCCGGCAATCCCCCACTACTCCACTATTGTGTGCGATAGAGAATTCAGCATATGATTGTCGATCGCAGATGAAGAATCCTGGTTCGAATGACAATTCTGCACCACCTGATCCTCCGTGAATAGGGGGCGCGACGACGACTCAAATGGCGGACGCAGATGACTTCGAAACGGGGGACCTTTTCAAGGACCCCGAGGGCTTCTACGAGCCTGAGAAGGAGCCCACCTTCGCCGAGCACCACATGCTCTCCGGCCAAACGGTGCGCGTGCGCTTAGTTGGAGACCATCCTCTATATGTACAGCCGCCCCCTCTCTTCCGTCTTTCACAAGCCACCAACTGACACTTAGCAAGGGTAACCTCCTCTGGAACGCCGGCCGAACAAGCTCCCACTACATCGAAGAACGTGCACACGAGCTCATCGCCGGCAAAGATGTGCTCGAGATCGGCGCCGCCGCCGGCGTCCCCAGCATCATCGCCGCGGTTATGGGCGCCCGCACGTCCGTGATGACCGACTACCCGGATCCCGATCTCGTCGGCAATATGCGCTACAATGCGGAGATCTCCGCGCCGTTGATCCCCAAGAACTCGTCCCTGCACGTCGACGGATACAAGTGGGGGAACCCTGTGGAACCTTTGCTGGCGTACCTGCCAGCTGGATCGACGGGTTTCGATGTCCTGATCATGGCGGATGTGGTTTACAGTTGGCGGGAGCACGGCAATTTGATCAAGACGATGCAGATGGCGCTGAAGAAGTCGCCCGATTCTGTCGCCTTGGTGATATTCACCCCGTATGAGCCGTGGTTTCTGCCCAGGACGGAGACGTTCTTCCCGTTGGCGGAGCAGAATGGGTTCCGTGTGACGAAGATCTTTGAGAAGCTTATGGATGCGGTCCTGTTTGAGAATGATCCTGGTGTAAGTGCATTCTCGGCTTGTGGGCTTGGTGGTAGCTTTTGCTGACTTTGTTGCAGGATGAGAAGCTTAGGAGGACTGTTTTTGGATACGAGATTAGATGGGCCGACGATCAGCTCAAATAGACGATGCATAGACTAGATACCATGGCGTTGGTTGGTGAAAAAAGCATTGGGAGGTTTCACAATGCATGAAGTGACGAATCACGAAAATGGTGCAGATGACCGACTTATTTGGAATATAATAAGTCGTTGATGTGCAAGAATAAAAGTCTTGATTATCTTATACTCTTTAAATACCCATAGCTTCTAAAAGCGGGACCGCTATTATTTATAAGTGCTAGAGGGGCCATGTCTTTGCTACTGAATGTAGACGCTTGAGAAAGACTTTAATAAGCAAGACGAGGCTTGGCGATGATAGATACTTATTTTATGCAGAGGTAAAGAAGCACATTGGCTACGGAACGGTCTATGTTCAATTTGGATTTGGATATCAGACATATCCATATACCTGTCCTCCCCCCCCACAGAACAAGAAAGAGACTAAGAAAGAACGAAAGCAACAAAGATTACCCAAGTGAGGAAGAAACGGGTTTATTTCTACCTTACCTCAACTGTTATTCACACCCTTGAGAGCTCCGAAGCCAGGCTGACGCCTCCCAAGCAGAGAGAGTTATGTAGTCTCAACTCCAAATTGCCGTGTCATGGCGTCTTATCCTGGAGAAGAAGATTATGTAAAGCCTGCAATTAACCTGACTTCACAAGCCCTACCCGGAAGCTGTTAACCACAAGTTTCCGAGGTCAATGAGTTACACCGTGGACCAGGGCCCTATACTATAACTGCCTATTTGGGTATAGTACACAATATGCCTCAGGCAGTGATATAGGGTATCACGTTTTGATTGACCCTGGAATGATCCATTGGCTAAATTCATCGTCTATAACGGATGTCTCTTTTTATCAGCCGTTCTAATCTCTGTACTGACTGAGCGCGAAGGAACTTCCGACTGGGTCTAGGTCCAGCAGGAGATAATGAGATTGATCTACAAACTCTATGGGGGATGACGCTCACATATCTCGACTCACAAACATTCGTTGCTCTGTTGCATGGAAGTCTACCTCAGCTGTTGGAAAGAAGAGAAGAGTAATTTACTAGACGCGTTATGCGCTCTATCATACAGTGTCGATGAACATTCGACTCTGTGTACGACTGCTATCAAATTGGTCAACATTGAAATTGTGCCATTATAGTAGAGAGAGCGATCTTGAAGCTTTGGGGGCAATGCTATGATCCATGCAAGTTAAATTTTTGAGCTTTCAACGAATAGAGAGGCCCGGCTGATATGAACAGTTGCCTAGGTGTTACTGTTGAAGGATACCCTAATTGTGCACCGGAAAATGGCTGTTGAAACGATCATGAGATTGTACAGGCGTTTGAGGGAGAAAGCCATTAAATGTAAGGTCCTGAGACAAGCCTTCTAAGTGGCTCTCATAATCATTATCCCACTATAGCCTCAGCCCGTTTGCGACACCTTCATCGTACCACCTGAGCTTAGCCTACTAACCGTATGCAACAGAAACCTGGGGACATTATTGATTGGACTATCACTCAAAGACTTACATCCAAGCATTCATTTGTTTGAGCTGACAACAAACTAAGTGTCAAACGCCATCCTAGTACGTTATTTATAACAATGGCTGATGTTCATGGTTTTCAACAAAGGCCTGGGAGCACAAGCCGCTCTATATCTTGCAGTTCCGAACGTCTCATCCCACGCTCATTCCTTCATGACTGGATAATCTGAGGAGTTCCCATGACTTGAGGCAATTGCGAAAACCTTTATTAAGCTAAGCAGAAGACTGGTTACTGGTATCTGGGGCGACACCCTATATCCACCGTATTATCTAGATCGCTATGAATCGTGAGGTATTGTTGATTCTATTCTAAGTAGTATTGTTTTCATTGATTGATTCACCTGACATACTCGACTACCTAGGGGAGCATCGTGGGTTTAATCCCAGCGGGATGTTTCCTGCCTTTAGCTTTGCTGCGGATACTGCGACTTCGCAAGGCGCATCCACAGGTGGCATCCTCATGTTTATATTCCAGCAAACTGGTAGGTGCTCCTTAGTTCCCTCAAGGAAATCGTGCTTAACAATTGACCAGGTGATCGCATACACTTTGGCCTTCCTTAAATTCATTGCTTTAGCATTTGCGGTTTCTAAGCAATCTTCGACAGACAAATCCCTCTTGTTTATTGTTTGTACGTTCAGTAGTAGATTTGCAGCAGCATGCTTGCTTGTTGCGCTAGTCCCACTGGAGCACTCCAGGACGGTTCGCCCATCATTTCTAATTTCATTCTACCTTCTAACGGACTTGATATTCAATGTGGCACCTATCGGCAGCCCTTGGCCAGCTGACTCCAGCCTGGAGGTGAAGCGTTTTCTGTCCGCTTCAATGGGGGTGGAGTGGACTTTGCTTACTTTAGAAACAGTTGAGAAGCGGAGGTGCCTTTTGAGATACCAAAATGTTGTTTCCCGGGAGTACCAGTGGCCCTTTCACCCGTCTTCTATTTCTGTGGCTTAATCGTCTTCTTAAAGCTGGCTATGGGAATATGTTAACCTCAGACCGCGTACTACCACCTGTGCACGAGGGATTAGGATCGAGAATGCTCTCCGAGAATTTTGCTGTTGCGTGGGACAATAGTATGTTCTACGCCCTTGCACTGAGTATTACATAGCTGAGAGTCTGATCAATGCAGGTGACCACGATCATAGGCTCGCTTTGTTTCTTGCACTCATCAAGTGTATACGGTGGGAGATTGCTAAAGTAGCAGTTCCCCGGCTATGTCTATTGATATTCAACATGGCACAGCCATTTCTGCTCAGCCGGGTGGTGGTATACTTTGGGCCAACAGACTCAGGTCTGTCTCAAAACACCGGAGGAGACCTGATACGTGACTTTATCATCGTTCTTATCGGGACCGCAGTAAGTTGCTCCATGCTTCAGGCGACCTTGTTCAGCTTCTGAACTGACGGTACCTTTCGCAGATCTCAACTACAACTTACGAGCACTTGGGTTATCGCGCCATGGCAATGCTTCGTTCTGGGACGACTGCCCTTATATACCGTACAATGATGTGGTTGCGTATAGACAATGCTCGCACATCCGACGCAATTTCCTTGGTAGGTTCAGATATTGACTCAGTTGCAGAGTTCTTCCGCCGTACGATTTGCGATACTTGGGCAAATGCCTTACAGCTGGGCCTAGCTATTTGGCTTTTAGCAGACCAAATTGGAGCTATCTGCATCGCCCCTATCATTGTTACTATAAGTACGCTATTATTACTCCATTTACATTGCAGCGTAACTGACCTTCGCGCGATTAGTATTTACCTCCATATCCTTATACATAGAAGGCTCAGTATCACGTCATCAGAAACTATGGCTCGAAGCCTCTCAAAAGCGCGTTGACTTTACCACAAAAGTGTTAGAGTCTGTTAAGTCGATAAAGATGCTCGGACTTATAGAAGGCATGGTCCATATGATTGAAGAACTTCGTACAGAAGAGATTGAGATTTCAAAGAGATTTCAGAAAATCCAAGCAGCCAAGGCGTCCTTTGGTAGGTCCTATTCAACACGCAAGATCTGGCCTAAGCTAACATTATGTTAAGTTAATATACTGCCGATAGTGGGTCAATTATCTGCTTTTGCTGCATGTGCTATCGTCGCTAGATTGGAAGGGTCTAGTGCTTTTTCAGTATCACAAGCCATCGCTTCCTTGTCCCTAATAAACCTGTTGCTCACTCCGCTTCGTGATTTGCTATTTGCTATCCCCGACGCTTTTCTTTCTATTGAATGTCTTGACCGAGTCCAGAATTTCTTGACTCAGGAACCTCAAAATGACAAGAGAATGATCGGAATGACATCTTCCGGACTAACAACATCAACGCAGTCATCGGTTCCCCTACCGATAGATCCAGAAAATGCCTCGCCGAGACTGAGAACTGCAGTTCTAGAACTGGATAATGTTATGTTTGGGACCGGGCGGGACCAATCAAAACATATTGGGAGGCTGACGCTGAGACTATCAACACCCTCACTCACTATGATAGTAGGCCCCATGGGCTGTGGCAAATCGATGTTGTTAAAGACCCTCCTTGGTGAGATTGAGCCAGTTGAAGGTGACATCTTCATCAGTGACCCGGACGTTGCGTACTGCGACCAGTCACCGTGGATTTTCAATAGCTCTATCAAGGAAAATATTATAGGAGAATCCCACTTTTACGATGGAGAGTGGTATCGTTCGATAATCAACGCATGTTGCCTGGATAAAGATTTACGGGCATTTCCCGCAGGCCATGACACATTGATTGGTAGTCAGGGTACCAGACTCAGTCGTGGGCAAATGCAAAGAATAGTAAGAAGACCATATTGTTGGATGATTTATGCTGATTATATTGCAGGCCATCGCTCGCGCAGTCTATGCACGGAAGCCCTTGGCAATTTTTGATGATGTCCTCAGCGGCTTTGACCCAGTCACTGAGCGGAAAGTGTTCGACCGCGTCTTCAGTGAAAGGGGCATTCTCCGGCAGATTGGTTGTATTGTTTTACTCGCTTCTCGTAGTGGTGAGCTCACTTGATCCTTGAGGGTTCTCTGTCCTGTGCCGGGCTTTCTGACCATCACTTAGTACATAACCTGCCTGAAACTGATTTTGTTATCGCATTAGGCGCAGATGGCCTTGAAATGGGCACTTTCCGGGAGCTTCGGTCTGCTAAGGGGTACATCTCAAAGTTAGATCTTTCAAAAGGACCCCAGAATAGCTGCAAAGAAAGCATTGAAACGGACAAAACAGCTATGAAAAGAAGGACGAAACGAAGCGGTGCAAACATGGAAGACCAAAACCGAGAGATAAATGACCTAGCGATCTGCAAATACTATGCAGCAGCTACTGGGTGGCCAAAGATGGCTCTTTTACTTGGAATTCTCGCTATGGAATCACTCTTTGGTGTTTTGCGGTGTAGGTTGCCCCTTAGTCCTTGTTCTCAGTGTCAGACTTGATGACTGGTATTCCTAGATGTCTGGGTCCCTCTGTGGTCCGAAATAGAAGACAGCATATCAAACTCGAGACTAGGGTTTTGGCTCGGAATATACGCCTCAATTGGTTTTACTGAGGCAGCTGGGTTGATACTAGCGATAGTGTAGGTGCTCAGATGCAGCGGTTGACGTGCTTCAGCTTTGACTAATCTAGCGACTGATTTTCTTTGAAGTTGGATGTGGATTGTGATTCTGCAGGCTACGTCGAAGACCCTCCACGGGGTTATTTTACAAGCAGTCGCGATGTAAGCAACCAACCTGGCTGTGTTTTGATTCAGCCTGACATGGGCATAGGACTCCGATATCCTTTCTTTCTCATATTGAGATGGGCGATCTTGTGAAAAGGTTAGCAGCGTGCTAGAAAGTCAAGATCCCGTGGATACTAATGATGATCTGGACAGATTTAGTGAGGACATGGAATTGATTGATAAGGTTCTCCCATGTGGCGTTATTTTGTCAGGATTTGGTGAGTTTTGAGCAACATCCATTTGATTGAGTCAACGGTTTTGACTTATGCCTGCTTAGAGGTTTTCGCAGCCATCGCCCAAGCGGCCGTCGCGATAGCAGCCGTGCCTTATATCGCTGTGGCAATGCCCTTTCTACTTGTCATACTGATCTTCATTCATCGTGTGTTTTCTCGGACATCGCACCAATTATGCCTGCTCGAGTTAGTTCTGCCACGGCTAGCTCTGAAGAACTCGCTAAGCTGACGGATGGGCAGAACCAAAACCGAGGCTTCCTTAGTCTTACATTTCATAGACTCTTTCAATGGCCTCGTTACGATTCGTAGTTTTGGATGGACCCCATCGATGAGCGAGACGACGTACTACTTGCTCGACACAGCGCAGCGGCCGTACTATCACCTTATATGCATTCAGCGGTGGCTTGTGCTTGCCATCAACTTGATTGTAGCCGCATTGGTTGTGCTGTTGATGGGGCTGGCCATTACGCTTGAGCTACAGGTCGAACCTGGATTGCTTGGTGCTGGATTGCTAATGATGGCGATGCTTGGGCAGAGCCTTTCAGGTCTCATCCTGAGATGGACTTCTATCGCGCCATCACTTGAGGCCATCGCACGGATCAAGCATTTTGTTGAGGATACACCGAAGGAATTGAAGCACAGCCATGCTATAGATACCGAATACGATTGGCCAGCACTAGGAGCCATCGAATTCAAAGACGTATGCGTCAGGCAAGAGTCCACATTCAATCTGGCACTACGAAACATCACGTTCACTCTTCAACCTGGACAGAAGCTGGGATTATGTGGACGAACTGGAGGGCAAGTACTATTCCTGATCGCTTGTGAACCATGTGTATGTAGATCTAATTCGGTTCCAGTGGCAAAACCTCACTCGTTCTCGCCCTACTTGGGATGGTTGAAGTGACATCCGGCCAAATCCTCATCGACAGCCAAGACATCTCAACATTGCCACCATCTCTGGTCCGCAAAAGGATAAACTACCTGACCCGGGAGCCTTTCCTGATTCCCGCTTCTGTTAGACAAAATCTGGACCCACTTGGCGACAAATGCGATGGTGAAATCATTATCGCACTTGAGCGTGCCAAACTCTGGGGGGTTCTGGTGGAAATATCTCTCACGAACAATTTTCCGGACTGCAACCCTCTGGATATTATCGTCGACGACAGCTTTCTATCGTATGGTCAGCGGCAGCTTCTGTGCCTTGCACGGATCCTGCTGAAGGAGAGTACGATATTGCTCCTGGATGAGCCTGCTAGCAAGTAAGTGTATCTGGGACTGTTCATGTAGGCCATTGCGTTAATGGATTATCTGTGTTTAGCCTCGATCCCGAAGCAGATTCAGAGATCCAGGATGTCCTCCAATCGGAGTTCAGCTCTTGTACAATCATCATGATCGCCGATAAACTTCAGGCAATCCGGGACTTTGACTACGTGGCTGTGATTGACGAGGGTCAACTTGTAGAATTGGGGAACCCGCAGACTTTGTTGTCGGAGGACCAAAGTACTTTTCGGGAATTGTATTTGGCAGAAACACGTCGATCAAGAAAGACCAGGAGAGTCGTCTGATTCAGTGGATCTTGTGTATACCGAGAGGACCTTCAACCTGTGACCGTGGATATGTCGGTATCTACACTTGGATTAAACCAATTTGCTAGTTAGTACCTATTTGGAACCGTGCATTTCCAGTCTGCATAATGAGGTAATTGTGTCTGCGTTGGTCAGCACTTGTAACTAATTGCCTTGACATTTTATGACCAGCAGGATATGACCCAATAAGCTTCTTTCGAGAGACACTGGCAAGCTCATGATATCATGCACCGAACCAGACCCTTGACGGAGCCACCGAAAGCTTATCAGCTCTAACTCCACTGCAGCTGGCATACTTGTTACCGGGCTTCTTACCTTGGCTATGTTCCGGCCAACCGGAGTATATACAAGGTAACCAGCCAACCATGACGTAGAAATAAAAAAACAGCATACATAACTTTCATAATATACGACCTAGATATATATATATATAACCACTCCCAACCCCATCTTATCCACAGATTCCACATACTAAAACCAAAATAAAGCCCCACATCCCACCTCCGAACCTAAATCCAAAGAAACGCCCCCAGTGAAGAAAGATAGATCCAAAATGCTCCACCTCAAACTCACCGTCCCCAAACCCATCAACGAATCCGTCATCGAAACCCTCACAGCCCATTTGAAGGAGATCGACGAGGACTTCCACCTCACGTCCGTCGACCAGCGATTCGCGGAGGCGTTCTACGATTGTCCCGGTTCCAGCGAGGCCGAGTTCGACGTGGTGCGCGCGGATATCCAACAATTGCTGAAGGATCCGGACCCCGTGATTCGTGGATATACGATTGATCATCGGTGGTAGCCGGGGTTCGTTAGATGAGATTATGGGGCTGGGGCTTTTATTCGGTATTTAGGAGTGTTTGTTTTTTGTTAGATGAGTAGTTGTGATTTGGTTTCTGGCCTGGTTGGGTTTTATGTTGATGCTATTGCGATGTAGTTCAAGTTAGTCTACGGAGTATTATCTGCGAGATGGGCGTTCGATAGGGTAGTTAACTAGAGCTTGATTCATTATCTGCGAATTAAAATATCTCAGGTCAATATCTATCAGGGCCCATCCCTTGTCAGATTTCATGAATACCCACCCTGACTCGAGTCGGACCCTTTCTAGCTCTTAGCTAAGCGAGGCTGTCCCCGACGGATATCCCCCGAGATTTTGCAGCCCCAATTTGCCATATACACAGAGTAAGTACCAAAGGAAAGTGTCCCAGGAAAGGTCAGAGCATCGGATTGGGGGCCAAATAAGCCGCTCAGCAAATCCAGGTTGTCCAACCGGGGGCTTGGAACTCTTGGCGGCCGTATCCTGGGCCTCGTTTAGGGCAATTGGCTTGACGATGAGGACGCTAGTCGACTCCGCCGACTCCTTATTTTCCATGCTGGGGCCAATAGACGTGGGGTGTGTTGATTGAGGGTGGTTTGGCAGATTTTGGGATGGAGAGACAGACTCATAGGGAACTGGGTTAGGGTCTGGGTTCTGACTTTCTTCTTGGATCTTACGATGGGATTGTGGTGTTTACTTTGATATACTGTAGTGCCCATATTACTCGGTCGGCTCACCACCACCACCACCACCAACGAAAATCCTCATACAGAATACAATATACAAATATACAATATACACCAGGAAAACCGGAACCAGTCCAAATGAAACTCCCACCCCACCTCCTCCTCACCCTCCTCTCCATCCTCCCAGCCCACGCCCAAAACACAACATGCTACTTCCTCGACGGTAGCGTCGCAACCGCAGACGTGCCCTGCACCTCCGACGCCACCACCAACTGCTGCAACAAGGCCGACATCTGCATGTCCAACGGCCTCTGCTACTTGCAGGGGTCCCACGGCATGGTGCTCTCCCGGGGAAGCTGTACGGATAAATCGTGGGGGGCGCGGTGTTTTGCGCCGTGTTGTATGTTCCTTTCTTCTATTTCTTCTTTTCTTCTAAGAACCAACTAACACGGACATCTCTAGCAAGCACAAAGCGCAACAACGGCTTCCCGGTTGTCAACGTCGGCTTCTCCGGCTCTGATTCCCAGTACTGCTGTGGTTCTGTGACGGTCAAAGACGGCAAGACGACCTGTTCCTCCGAGGGCGACCCCTTCACGATCACCATGGGCACGGCCATTCCCGGCGTGGCGGCGCTGGCGGTGAATAACAGCGACTCCGGGTCGGGGTCGGGGTCGGGGTCCTCAGACGACGACACGAATTCCTCCACCTGCGACGACCAGCGGCTGAAGGAGAAGGCGTTGGATAACCATGACGTGGCGATTGGGGTCGGGGTCGGCGTGCCATTGGGGCTGATTGCGGTGGCGGCGGTTGCGTGGG